ATACTATAATCACTGGCTTCCGGTAACTGCCGGAAGTGACCTCTGAGTCACTCTTCGGCCGGAACTCGACTTGCATACAGCCGTTATCGGAAGCCAGTGATTATAGTTTATAAAGTTATAAATATTAATATTTTTCTTACAAAAACACATCCCTTTGCTGCAGATGGCCTTTATTAAGCCCTGGATCCATATCAATTACTTTTATAATGGATGGATGTGCTTTTATGGGCTTCAAAATATATGGTACCATTCAAAGCTTTATAAAGCTTACCATTATAAAGCTTGGAAGAGCCAGGATATTTTTTTATGTAACTCTGATTGTGTTCTAGCCTGGTTAAAACCAGACCATTCTCAGCTGTAACTGAGTTATGGTCTGGCAAAACTTCATAGACAAACCATTTCCAAAGGGGCGTCACCAACGGATGTAGCTCAAATGCCTATGGGCGCAATTGGATAGACCTAAAACCAATCAGAGCGATGAAGGAGATGACGTATGCAGATCGACGTTCGTCTGTTATAGAACAACTGAAGCCTAGTTCACACTACATGATTTTAAGCCCGATTTAAGCCCGATTTGCAAATCGTTGAGCTCGCCGACAGGTCAGGGTGTTATCGCGTGCAAATCGCGGGGGATTAGTGGGCGATGAACGCTCGCCAATCTGTTAGTATGAAAGAGCCAACAACGCATCAAAGACGCTCGCAGACGCGTCGCCGAGCCGAGAAAAATATCTAGCATGCTAGATATCCAGAGCTGTCGCACGACTCAACCTCACGTGATGTCATGAGCTACAGCCAATTAGAGCAAGGCATGGGTTGAGGTCACCGGGTATTGGCCCGCGTGCTGTTTCGCGTCATTTCCGGTTCGTTTTATCACGTGATTTTTCGTGACAAAACGTGGTTTGTAGACAAGATAGAATCGTTGGGTGACAGAGTTGTTGTCAACTCGTGTAGTGCGTTACCTCCTGTTGCGGATCAATCACGTTGTGTCGTGTGGTGTAAACAGCTCAACAACTTGAACACTCCTGATTTCACAGAGAGCAAGTCATGTAGTGTGAACCGCACAGTTCAGCCCACCGTTTTAAAATCATGTAGTGTGAACTAGGCTTAAGTTTGAATAAACGAGCAGACACTGATTAGCTACTTGCTCTACGTTTATTTAAAATTAACAGCAAGACAACTAGAAGTAGACTTAGCGCTGAAGGCAGCTCTTAAATCCGGACTACCACATGACAGGAGAAAATTCCAAGAATTGCGAAATAAAGTAGTAAAAGAACTAAGGCAGGCTAAAGCTGATTACTTTATTAAATTAATCAATGACTCTAAGGGAAATAGTAAATTAATTTGGGAAAATATTAATAAAATTACAAAGAAGGAGTGTAAATCTGTTCAAAATTGGGTAATAAACGAACAATCAAAAGTAATAGAAGATAAAGGAAAAATAGCTACGATCTTTAATTCATTCTTTGTAGACTCAGTACAGTGTCTGGTCAAGAATTTTGGTATAAGACCAAGAGTACTTGAATTGGCAAATACTGACTTCCCTGTTTTCACAATCAAAAATGTCTCGGAATATACAGTGATGAAAACACTCGATTGTTTAAAAGGGTCCAAGTCTAAGGATGTTTTTGATTTTGATGCAAAATTCTTAAAAAACTACAAATTAATACTATGTAAGCCTTTAACTTACCTGATAAATTTGTCAATAACACAATCCTATTTTCCCTCATCCTGGAAGGCTGCAGTAGTGACCCCTATCTTAAAATCCGGTGATAGAACAAACAAATCCAACTATAGGCCCATACTCCTAATAGTTTCTAAAATTACAGAAAGGGTCGTTTGTGACCAGCTAGTCTCTCATCTAAATGAAGGTGAATTTACTTTGCACCCGATGCAGTTTGGCTTCCGAAAGCATCACTCGACAGAAACAGCAAATTGTTTTTTTGTGGAACAAATCAAAAGTCAACTTGATAAAGGCGGTGTCGTCGGAGCTGTGTTTTTAGATTTTAAGAAGGCATTTGATACCGTTAATCATAACGTTTTACTTTTGAAACTTTCTAAATTTAATTTATCTGCTAATACCATGACCTGGATGGAATCCTATTTGAATAACAGAAAACAATGCACAAGAGTGGGTGATAAGTGTTCCTCATTTGCTAACTGTATTTCAGGGGTCCCTCAAGGGTCTATTTTAGGACCTCTTTTATTTAGTATATATATAAATGACCTCCCTCAAGCATGTCCGGATGTTAACATCCAAATGTATGCTGATGACATTGTGATTTTTACCCATGCAAGATCTAAAGAATACGTTGCAGCCAAACTGACAGCCTCGATGAATAAGGTATCGGATTGGCTGGCAAATTCATGTTTGACCCTTAATTTAAGTAAAACAGTTTGTATGTATTTTACAGCCAGGATCAATAATTCAGTTAATCCTGATATTTTAATTAACGATGAAGTTATTACATCCGTGACACATGTTAAATATTTGGGCATTATAATTGATGCAAATCTGACTTTCAAAAAACAAGTTAGTAAGGTAATCAAGACTGTTAAATTTAATCTGAACAACTTTAAGAGTATCAGACATCATTTGTCACTGTCTGCTGCAAAACTTTTTGTACACACAATGATTTTTCCCCATTTGTCTTTCTGCATAACAACCTGGTCACAGGCAGGTGTGACTACGCTCAAGCCCATGTATTCACTTTACAAACAAATTTTAAAAGTATTAGACAAAAAACATAAGGATTATCATCATTGTAATATTTTGAAAAAATATAATCTTCTCAATTTTGAAAATTTTTTATTTTATTCAGACACATGTCTAATGTTTAAAGTTGTTCATGAACTTGCACCCCCTCCTCTTAGAGGATGCATAGTTTTTTCAGGCAGTGGCAGAGCCGGTAGAACTAGAGCATCAACTAGGGGTGATTTGGTGCCGCATTTTAGAAAGTCAACCTTTGGTCAATCCGCCTACTCCGTTAAAGTAGTGGGGAAGTGGAATTCAATACCCACCAACATTAGAAACTCAGGAAGTTTTGCAGTATTTAAAGCTAGCCTCAAAATTTATCTAAAATCAGCACAAGAGTGTCGCCATTAATTGTTGCATTGCATTTTCTATATTCTGTATCTGGTGTATTTATCAAATTGTTTTTTTTTATCAATTTTAAATTGATGGATAAAATGTCATTTGTAAATTGATGTAGTGCATTTGTTGTTTAGTGGTTGCTTTGTGTCTTTTGTTATGTTTTGTCTACCTGCCTAGGGACAACAGATGCAAATTAGCTGTTAGCTAACTCTGGTGCAATTGTTTTAAATTGTGCGCTGTCCCTGTCAAATAAAAACAGAAATAAAAAAATAAAAAAGTTAATGTGCTTTCCATTAAATAAATCACACACAGTAAACAAAACCTTAACAAAAAAAACTTTGCAATTTAGACGCGCAAACTGGGTGCCGGTGCGGTGAGACGTAGTAGCCTACATGCTCGGGCAGATTCGGCTTGAAGTCGTTCATCCTCGGACGCGGCGCCGCGCGCGCTGTTACAAAAAAAGCCGTGCACACAGCCAAGCCAAATGGGGTCTTGCCGGTCTTGCACACCGAACGCGTCATTTTTGCCGCGCGCACCTTCGCACTCGTGCGGACGCGTCGAGTATAAACAAGGCTTTACTCCGTGTCAGCGCCTCTGATCGGTAAAGGGGCACAGACCTCTCCCGAATCATCTCCAGCAGTAGCAGCCTCCGAAGCACAACTAACTCCGCCTCCGTTTCCCTCGTAAGCTGATATTAGTATTTAAACATTCTCTATGATAAAAAATGTTTGTGAAAAAAATATTTTAATAACATGGTTTTGCCGGTTATAGAGTTCTAATGACGGTGTTCAACTATAAACCGTCACACCCCTAATTCCGTCGCTGTGCTGTCGTCATCGTGTAAAGCCCGCCCCAACGTTTCTGATTGGTGCCTCGATTTCGACGGATTAGAAATGGGCTTGAATGAGCTCTTTGCCAGACTAACTTGCAGAGCAAATCTAAATTTGCCGGAAGTTGTCTGGGTTTTCCCAGGCTAAATGTGTTCGGCTGAAAAAAGAAAGTCATATACACCTAGGATGGCTTGAGAGTAAGTACATTATGGGATAATTTTCATTTTTGGGTGAACTATCCCTTTAAGTGCCACCTCAAATTGCTTTTAGCTTCTTTATAAATAGCTCCTAATCTTAAACAAGTCCTACTTTTAATAAGAATTTTTTGACAATTAAGTCAAAGCTTAAGCATTTTTGTTAAGTTTTGTACGACCCCCGATGTCTAACACAATAACTCAATTTCACAACCCTTACATAACTTTTCTTTGACACTGCTGAAGTGAAATCATTCCACAAGTTTAGTTCGCCTCACTTTCAATGCCTTTGTTTTTGCAGGTGTTTAACTGTGTGCTTTCCCAAACAGCTCATTGGGGGGATCATTGTTTTTTAAGACTCAGACCTCTGAACTCAAAGAGAACGGTTTGTTTCTATTACCCTATAAACCAGACAATTAGGCCTATGTTCCTGAACTGAGTTAAAACCAGCTTGCAGAAATCAGATGGAAATGGCAAAACAAATCAATCACAATGAAAGGTCAATTGATGATTTAAATCGAGTGGGGACATGTCATCCGATCTCAAAAAAAGAAAGAAATTGATAAACAGATAGGATTTAAAAAGAAAAAGAGAAAAAGTAAAAGACTCACACATTTGAGCCAGAACTCAGAATCTAAAGTCAAAATTTAAAAAGAGACCTTTGATTTTTCAGTCGAATTAAGCAACACACTCCGCCCATTTACTCAATGATCACACACAAAACAGCTCTGACATTTATCCATGGTTTTTAAAACAAATAATGCCGTTCAAAAGCCTGTTCAGAATAACCGAGTTACGAGAACATTAACGGATATGCAACTTTCAGCAAACATAGTACACAACAATGAAAAATGTAATAGGCTACATTTCGGACGAGGTACTCACCTACTTTTCCAGAATTTCGCTGAATCAAAATAAGTGCAATAGGACCATCCGATTAACACAGGCAGGCATTAGACAAGAGCATAGACAGGTCCGGAATATTTTACAGATAAAAAACAACGCTAGAGAAATAACAGACAAATACATAACCACCTGAAATCGCACAGCAATCTTAAGGTCAGAGTCAGCGACAGAGAGAGCGCGCTCTGCCGGGGTTAAAGCACCGAATATCCGTGTGGTGAAACACTAAAATATAGCTTGACACCGCTCCTGGTGTAGCCTACTACCATAAACACTCGCACAAATACTAACGACTGCAGAAGACGAGTGCGTTTTCCAGCCGTGGTTGAAAGTTGAAATCCCGCCCCCTGTCCACGCCAGTATAGTGGTGAGATATATCCAGCTGCAAAACAGCAGCGACAGAAGTTTCAGACCAGCAGCGCCAGACCAGCACAAGTAGGCTACTCGACCAGCAGCCACAGGACGGAAGCGAGGGGCGGAGCTTATCGTTAATGGAGTAGTTGCACATGGATTTTTTCACATGGATTTTAATCGGATATCTACAATATTTAAAAACAATATTTTTTTGTACAATGAGCAATATATTTGTTGTAATTGTCATGTCAATGGATGTATACAAACACTAGATTTTGTTGTTAGTTCATACTGCATTAACTAACCTAATTAAACAAGGGAGAACTTAACTTTTTAATTTTGAAAATATATTAATAAATATGTAACCGAACTGTAAAATGTTTCCCATTTGACTATTATTGATCTTCATGTTCATGATGTTACAAATAGCTACTGGCACAGAGTATGGCCATTTAATGTAAAATATACTGTATTAAATCAACGCAATGGCTTGAACAAGTGAAACGTGTGCATTTATATGATGGAGAATATGGTGAGTTGTCTTCTCCCTTTACTGACACATGGAATGCGGCTATTCACTTTATGTACCAGAGGAATCTAGGACTCAGGTAGATTTAAACAGCAAAAAGGAATATGAAGTGTGCACCCTGCTGTACATTTCAAGATTTTAATAAACTGTTAACTTGTCCTGTGTTTTTTAATAAGGGGTTTTAAATAAAGCAACAAACCATTTAAAACTTTAAACTTAAACTTCAAAATAACCAATTTAAACCATGGCAGAGGCCAAATATGTGAGATGGGCTACGTAGCCGTCACAGACATAACTGCAATACATTTGTGATGAGTAACTTTTCATATATGATTCATATATGAGATATTTAAAGGAATCTTATTCCCTTATTGAACACTTTAGCTTACGGCACCTATACAGACAACAAGATCGGGCCGATTTTGGGTCCAATGCTCCCCTTCCAATAATCCTAAAGGTCCCGATTTTCTTGATAGTTCTACAGACTTTTCCCTTTGGTGTGATGTGTGTTCTGAGACTCTTCATTTTGGGGTCACGCTTGGCTCCTTCGCAGTCAAGAGTGACCGAAGCCTTGAAATGTAACTTCTTTTTTTTCTCAGGAATATCAATGTTATATATTTTTGTTAATTAATATTTTTTGATTATTATTTATAATTTTGAGGGAATTTTATGATATGCAATATTTATACAATATTTAAAAACATTTTTCCATTAAACATTAATGCTACTTTTTATTTTATTTGTTATTCTTTTTAATAAATGCAATATTTCATATTAAAATGGAGTGAAGGCCTCTTTTTAGAAGTGAGAATGCTGCCATCTGGAGGTGTTAAAAAAACATGTGCAATGTCATGGTGTAACTGTTGCACCCCTGGAAAAGGGGGAAAATAGACATTAATAAATGAGAAGACACGGACTTGTGCTGTTGTCTGCGGTGCAAGCTAATTTCTTTTTCTTTCAACACATAACATGTTACAGAGAAATTGAATGTACACGTCAGTACATTGGTTAACATTAACATGCAGACTAGATCAGCAATGCAGATGTATCACAACAATCACTATAACATTGTAATTTAGAATAGAATAGAGCTTTATTGTCATTGTAAACAACGAGATTACAAATGAGATTAACATGTTAGTCTCTGTGGTTTTTGATAATTTAACAGTGAGATATGATGAATTACGCAAAAGTAGTAGTAGTAGTAGTAAAATCTTTATTTGTCCCTTTACATGGCAATTTAAGTAGCTTCAACCTCACAAACATACAAATTTTTATAAAACAGAAAACAACAAAACATCACAAAACCTTACGAAAAAAAACATCACAAACCCCGGGCATTTATAATAATTCTTCATATAGCTACTATTTAAAATTCACGGTACCTTTATCTTTGTTTCAAATAAGTATTTACACTCATAACTGCGTTTGAAACAAAAGACCTAGAAGCTTTAACGGTCCTCCACTTGGGCACTCTATATCACTTTCCTGAGGGAAGCAATTCAAATTCTAAAAACAAAATGTGGGATGTATCCTCTAGGATAGTCAAAGACTTCCTAAGAACATTTCTCTCACACAAAGCAGACAAACCCAACTGTACAGATCCAGTAATCTTTGACCCTAAATTAATAATGTGCTAAAGCTGGGATTTTAACATTTAATCCATAAAACCAACAGATCATAGCAAAGGTTAAAACACTTTCAATGAAAGATCTATAAAACATTATCAATATGGATTTATCCACTTCAAAGGACTTAAGCTTCCTCAGTAAATATAACCGTTTTTGTGCTTTCGATATAATAAGATTTGTGTGGTGTTCCAAGTGGTGTTCCATATTGTCCAACCCAGTCTCACGGTAGTTCGTGTTCGTGACAGTCACGAAATTTAATCTATTGATTCGTGTTCATGGACACGAATTTCCCCTTTTTTCGTGTCACTCAGCACGACTTTCAATCTAATGTATTTCAATGGGACGCATTTTTCGTACCTGCACCCAGGGCCGGTTCTAGACATTAGGAGGCCCTAGGCAATATTCATGTTGGAGGCCCCCCACCCCCAATAAAAAACTCTTGAAACAAATATGATTCCTAACCTTTTAATTTATACAACATTTAATTTTAAATGTAGGCCTAGTATATTTTTTACTTACACAGTACATACGTTTGGACACATATTTTTAATGTTTTTAAAAGAAGTCTCTTATGCTCATCAAGCCTGGATTTATTTGATCAAAAATACAGAAAAATAATATATAGTGAAATATTATTAAAATTTAAAATAATGGTTTTCCTATTTTACTATACTTTAAAATATATTTCTGTGATGCAAAGTTGAATTTAGTGTCACGTGATCCTTCAGAAAACGTTATAATATTCTGATTTATTATCAAATGTTAGAAATGCTTACTATTTATTTTATAACCTGTGATACTTTTTTTCAGGATTTTTATGATTATTAAAAAGTTGTTTTAAAAAAGTCTTCACTATCACTTTTTATATATTTAACACATCCTTGCTGAATATTCCTGTTTTTTTTCTGTCTTTTTTTATCAAATAAATACAGGCTTGTAATAAACTTCTTTCAAAAACATTAAAAATAGTAATTGGTCCAGACTTTTTACCAGTAGGCTACTGTATGTACATATTAATCAAACTTCATCTAAGGTAATCTCTTTTTTGTTTAATGAAGATGTTATTGTTATTTTGCTGTTTTATTCAATTTATTCAGAGTTCCAGAATACCACTTCAGTGATATATGCTTTTATCATTTTTTTCATAGCTGCGGTATGGGCAGGATTTCCCCCTCCCATTTAATCAATATTGACTGCAGATATTGTCATATTATTAATATAAGTAATATGATATTATGCATTGCATTGCTAGCTTAAATATGCTATACACAAATCAAGTGGAAGAGAAAGACACGATCGCTATTAGAAAAAAAAATTCTAAACTGATATTAGCCTATTGGCGCTGATGTCAGACAGGGTATAATCTAATCATCAGCAGAATTTAGAAGATAGACGCATGAGATCCTTTAATTGAAACATTTAAAAATGTTGTAGTGTGTTGGCTTTTTAACTTTGAATACAAACGTCTTGTCTTTTACTTTTGTAGGGTTTTTAGTCAGCTCCCGACGCGATGTTATTCATTGTACGCGCAAATTCAAAGCGTCGCGTCTGGGCACGTTAATGACGCTCGCGCTCTTTTAAACTCGTAATAAAGCGGTGAATGATTTTCCCAGAAATGACGCTGATCTACAGTACAAGTTTATATTTAGAATAGCCTGCCCTACATTGCAATCACTCCAAAATAGATGACGACAACGCACACACCTGCATTACTGTGCTTTTTTGCGTGCCTATTTAGGCTTTTGCTTCGCAGCACCTGATGGATGTGTCCCTCTGTCTGGGCCCCATCCCACCAATCGGGCCCTAGGCACGTGCCTAGTTTGCCTTTGCGTTAATCCGGCTCTGCCTGCACCACGTTTTTCTTTCGAGAGCACAGTATTGTTTTTTTCTCAATTGTTATTCATTTTGCAAACTTTAAGGGCTACACTATAGCCTACCCAACATTTAATCAGGAGATTTTAATCCTTATTTTTATTGCAAACAGCATAGAACAGGATAGAATTAGACTGTATTTACCTTTTTTTTGTGTGTGTCACAAGTCCCAGGCCTACAAGCTGAAGAATGGCAGAGTTTGAGGAACTGAAGAGGGAGATGGCGGAGATGCAGAGGCGGTTTGCCGAGCAGGCGGGAGCACTCGACCAAGCAAGAACCGAACAAAGAGAAGCCCTGTCACTAGCAAGAGCTGTCATCGAGCATCAAGCCACCGCTCAAGCACCCCCAGCGACCATTTATATTCCCAGGGACAGGAAACTTCCAGAGTTCAGTGGCCGTTCGACCAATACTGGAGAGTTAAGCGTCGAAGAATGGGTTGCATCAATGAAATCTGCCTTCCAAGTGATGAGAGTACCCCCAGAAGATCGTGTAGAGTTGGCGAAACAGCATCTCAAAGATGAGGCCAAAGCGACTGTGAGGTTCATGTTGGGTGATGGTGAAAAATCTACCGACGATAGTCCTACTAGACACCTATGGAGACAAAGTGCCAGTTGGAACCAGACTGAAAGATTTCTACGAACGAAAGCAAATGCAAGGCGAAACGATACGCTCATACGCATATGATCTACAAGAGAGACTCAGCCGAGTTCAGCGCAGAGAGCCAAACAGGGTTCCAGAGGCCGAAAGTGTGTTAAAGGAACAACTTGTCCTGGGCCTTCGAGATGACTTTCTGAGGCGTGAAATGAAAAGGCGAGTTAAAGAGGATGCAAGGTTGACTTTTGTTCAGGTAATGCAAGCTGCAATCACTTGGGCTGAAGAAGAAGAGACTCAAATGCAGGACATTCCAAAACCCAGCCCGCGGGTCAGAGTAGTAAGTGCTGATGCAGAACAAGCTTCCTCTACGTTAACACTGGAA